AGAAAAAAAATGAAAAGAACACAGTATTTACATTAGTCGGACTATTGTCCTCATCTTTGTCGCCATATTTGTCACAACGTTTCGGCCGTTGTACGCTCCGGCCTTCTTCAGGTACCAAAAATGAAAACTGAACCCTTTATTTCGATCAATGGGGTAGACTGTTCTAATTCCACGTGCCATGTTTGATGGATGTCAGTTATCAGTTATCTCCTGCTAATTTTCCCTCTGAAAGTTCTCCATTGCCTTAACCAGGAATTGAACTCACCTTCTTTGGGTCTGTCACTGGATCTAACCAACACGGAAAAGAATTCGTTAGGTAAATAGTGGAGTTCTTTAGTATTTTTGCTTTTTTTAAAAAAAAAACAGTGCATTTTATGCAGATGTAGAGTTTTAAATTATGAATATTTTTTTTAAAAAATATAATATTTTACAAAAAGTGTTCTCATGTTTCAAAAACGATATAAAAAAACCTCAATATAAATATGATATATTTCCATAGTTAATTAAATTTTGCGGATGAACAATATTATAAAGATGCGTAAATTTCAAATTGGTTATTAAAATAAATTTTCGCTTGGGGATGAAACAGGGCTTGATACTTTAAAATCAATTTAATTTTATTAATTATATTGAGGTTTTCGAAAAATTTTTAAAACATCAGAACTTTTATGTAGATTAGGAATCATATACACAAAAAAAAATAATTATATATAATTCCAAAAAAAATAACGGAATTGTTTTTTTCTTTTTGAAAATTAATCAGCAGTGCGCATCCATTACGGAGAATCGAAACCAGGCCGTTACGATACATTAAAAAGTGCCATACCATTGGGTCATTTAATCCTAATTCCGATGGTGAGAACTCATCCAATATACATGACCCATGTTTTATATAGGAATGCATTATTATGAAAATTATTAAAATTAAAATATTAAAAATGATTTTAATGAATTAAATGAATCATAGAACCACGATTAGAATATTGATAATACTGGAATAATAATTATATATACCCCTTTTTTACATAAAATACACACAATATATATATATATATATATATATATATATATATATATATATATATATATATATATATAAGCAAATATATGGATATAGATCCGACAGTATGAAGAAAAAAATATAAAAAAAAAAACAAACAAAAAAATGATCTTATAAAACTTTCAGTTATTCTGTTTGGATAAGTCTTGTTCTTATGTACATCGTCTTTGTCATGTTGAATTGATAATGTTAATTATATTTTATGAATATGTCCTGAAGATGGTTTATTAGACCGAAACGTCCGACGTTGACATATTAACATTAAAACAGCATAATTGTATATAAGGATTTTTGTTTGTTTTTTCCGTATATATTTTTCTTCATATATATATATATATATATATATATATATATATATATATATAGAGGGCGAATCACTTGTCAAACTCTGACCGAATGATCAAATAACCAGGTCGTCTGTTTTTAACTTTGTTGTAAACGACATTATTTTAGTTTTTTTTTCTTTCTAAATTTTTTTTTTTTAGCAACATCATTACTTAAGAAAGTGGACAATAAAAGGACTGAATACAAGGATACAACTCGTAAAGTTGAATTACCAAAGAGGAACGGTCATCACAATAATTATCATGAAATTATTTATAGAAAAAAAAGCAGAGAAAAGCCACGTTACGACAGTTGGAAAGTTTGCATAATTCAAATCAAAAGAAGAGACTCACCTTGCAAGTAGCGAATAAGAATGCACACAGTTTCTCCAAAGATAAAATTCCTCATAACTGACGGTATCAGTGTAAAAGGCATGCAGAAGATTGCAAGGAGGAGGTCGCTTATAGAAAGGTTAAGCAAGAAAACATTGGTCACTGTTCTCATCCGTTTGTTTTGAGCCAATGTGACAATAACTAGCGTATTTCCGACCACAGCCAATACAAGAATTACAATATAAAACGGAATTCGAATGTCAGTAATCCATGTAGACCAGGAATCGTTTTCATACGTCCAGTTTCTAAGGGCGTCGACAGGGTCATAAACCTCATAGCTTAAGTTGTAGAATTGGGGAGAATTATCCCAAATTTTGAATTTTATTTGTTGGGCTTGTTGGTTTGTTTCTTTGTGTTTGTCTCAATTATCGAACTGGAAAAGTAATTTTAGGTGCCGTTATATTGGAAAATTAAACACTTTTTGGTTGAGAAAAAAGGTTATTTATGGTGGCGTTGCTCACGGTCGAAACTGTCGTATAGCCTGTTTCACTAGAAGTGCCATCAGCAATGTCTGCAAGCATTGTAGGCATGACGACAACAGCACTGACTGCCCAGCCGAAAGGTATATGTTTCCAATTGATTGAGTGGTCAGTACAGATCGATAAAAATTAAAAAAAAATCCGGAATATTTTATATATGTATATATATATATATTTTGTTGTTACTAGTGAACACGCTTTTTCTGTCTCGGATGTATGTTTCCCGCTTTTTCAGGCAACAGAGTTACTTCAACTAGTTTTTATTTTCCGTGTGTGTTCTCAACTTTGTTAATTTTTTTTTTTTAAAGTTGAGACGGAATATATCAAAATACTTGACACAACGATACCTTTTTTTGAACTAAATGTAACATCATTTATTTTTATAAGAGCATTTTCATTAGTTTTTTTTATGCTTTTTTTTTCGATATAAAAAAGATTTTGGTTTTGCTAAAAGTGTGAAGTTCCTTGTAATATTAATCGTCTATTTGTTCCGAAATTCTGGATTCATTCTTCGGCTGTTGGAAAAAATAGATATTGCGCGATTTAATTGTGTAAAAATAGTTTGATATGTATAATTTGATTGAATTTAAGAGTTCATAGATACATGTGTACAAAAAGAAAAGAAGATTCGCAAGATAATAGAAAAAAAAACTTTTTTTTTTTCCTTAGATTAAATCCGGGGTATTTTTATGTTACAGTCGTAATTAGTTCCGTATAAATCTCCCATATTGTAAATTAAAGATTATTTTAAAATCTTTCGGTTAACATTCGCACGTGTCGGCGTTTGTTTGTAGGTAAAATGTTGCAGAGAAAATTTACAATGCGAGTAGACTGGTATTTGGCGAACGTCCGTTTAGATGTAGATGCGCGCGTGTCTATGTGTTAAACACTTAACATATATATATATTGTGTGTCTATCTGTGTGTTTTGTGTGTGTGTCTGTGTTTAAAATGTGTTTTTATTCGTCAGTTGGTGTGGAAACGTTTACGAGCGAATGTTACAAAGAAAGAATTGGTTTAGATAGCAGTAGATACTTGCTAAACAAATTCTACTATGGAGATTTTTAGTAAGAAAGATGTGTTGCTCCAGAGAATTTATTCAAAACGGCTTTTAAGTAGATAAATTGTTATTTGGAATAGTTTATAAATTTAGATAAAACTAATTTTAGTATAATAGTTTAAGAAATACGATGTTTAGGAAGAAAGTGGAATATCAAATTTCTAAGTTTAAATAGCCTAAAATATTTTTATATATCTCTTTTTTTTACTACAAAATTCGGCAAATGGTGGATAGGAAGATTATAGCGTACCAATTTATCAAGTGTAAAATCAATATCTGAAATGTTTATTTTTTTTTTAAATATGTTCCTGGTTTTCATTTTTTTTTAAATTTTATTTTATCTTCTTTTATTTTTATTTTTATTTACTAAACACACGAAAATAGTAAAAAAAAAAAAAAAAAAAGTGGTTAGGAAGTTTGCTTTTCCAATCCTTCAAATTAAGAAATAAAAAAACTCATCCATTAGAATGTTTTTTGTTTGTTTGTGCTTTTGCTTGTTTTTATTTTTTTTTTTTTTGTTTTTTTAATATTTTTTTTTAATTTTTTTTTTTGTTTTTGTTTTTTTTTTTTTTTTTTATTTTATTTTTTGGGGTTTTTGTTTTTTTTTTGTTTTTTGGGGTTTTTTTTGTGTGTGTGTATGTATGCGTGTGTGTGTATTGTCAATCGCGCATTGTGTTAAAAATTGTGTTTTCAAAGTTGATTTTACAATTTAACCATTTCTTAAAGTACTTTTTTGCCCTTCGTTTTAATAAGTTTTTTACTGGACTTTGCTTAAAATAAGACAAAAACCAAATGAATGAGAGAATTGTATTAAGCTTTTCTCCAAAAGAAAAGGTCTGCCGGTTTGTCATTAAAACTAGTTTATTTATATGTTTATGATGCAAAGTATATGTGTGGAAAGGTTTCGCACCTTTGTATCTAAAAGATTGTAAATCTTTTTCTTTTTACATTTTTTTTAAATTTAAATTTTTTAAATATTTAATAAAATAACGTTTTTTTTTTCCAAACTCAGATTATAATATTAACATAACTACTCAACTTTCAAACTATATTTATCTCCTTCTTTTCTATAAAATGAAGATTTATTATTTTAAATCTCATCTTAGACAAGGCGTAAAAATGTAACTGAATCAATTTTGTAAATAAATTTCATGCAAATTTTGCGGATAATTTCTTATTTTTGTTCTTTTTTTTTTAAATGGGAGAAAGTTCGTATAATTCAAAGAAAAGATTTGAATAAACTTTTTTGCTGCGGCTGTTGTTGTATCAGTGTTCCATGTAAGAAATCTAGTTTGATATCCAAAGTGAGAAGAGTGCGTAAAGAAAAACTGACTGAAACGAAGAATTATCCGAAAGAAATACGCAACATTTGGCACATAAACAGATCCACGCTGTGGTATAAAAGCTCAGATTCAATCCAGTTCTCCAGATAATTGAACACTGACTGTGTCCGTGTGCCTATCTCTGTGTGTTTGCGTGAATGCACAACTATGTAATAGGAACAAAAAAGGAAAACGTTTCATAGGTTGGAAAGTAAAGCAGGAGTCGGCGAGGCAAGCGACATTTTGCAAGAAAACGGATTTCTTTTCGATAGGAAGAATTGAAGTTTGAACGAGCGAGAGGCAGAGAAATCGTGATGAAAGCAAATGAGTAGGCAATTAATGAAAGGATCAAAGACTAGCTTTATTATTTTGGTATACTTGGAGAGGAAGAGAGAATATGAGAATAGATATATGCTCGAGAGAGAGAAACTCTGTGCAGGTAGGGAGGGCGATAGCAGTCTTTGGGTATGAATAGGAACGAAAGAAAGAGATTAGATGACAATGTCGGACCGACAGAATGTGCGTGGCAGTCACAGGGTATTATGAGAAATGCTGGAGAGTAAGAGAGATTAAATGACAATGTAGCAGAGAGAGAGAGAGAGAGAAAGATGAAGTGTGTATGTGTGTGTGTATGTGCGTGTTTGTGAGAGAGAGAGAGATGGATTTGCTTGGGTAAAGAGAAAACGATGCGATCTGGTGATGTATTTATAAGAAAGAAAGAAAGAAAGAAAGAAAGAAAGAAAGAAAGAAGATTGAAAAGAAAGAAAACTGAAAAGAAAGAAAACTGAAATGCAAAGAGAATAAGAAAGAAAACAGAAATAGAAAAATAAAAGTGGAACCAAGAAAGAAAGAAAGAAAACTGAAATTAAATAAAAATGTAATAAAGAAAAAACAAAATAGAAAATAAAAGTGGAACGAAGAAAGAAAGAAAACTAAAATTAATAAATAAAAATCTAATAAAGAAAAACAAAATAGAAAATAAAAGAGGAACGAAGAAAGAAAGAAAGAAAGAAAGAAAGAAAACTGAAATTAAATAAAAATGTAATAAAGAAAAAACAAAATAGAAAATAAAGGTGGAACGAAGAAAGAAAGAAAGAAAGAAAGAAAGAAAACTGAAATTGATAAATAACGGTGTAAGAAAGAAAGAAAGAAGAAATGTGGAACGAAGTCAAAACTATATATAAAAAAAAGAAGCCAGGAATGAGGAAGAAAATTCAATCAAAGAAATTATTGAATTAATGATGACCTGAAGAAAGTATTGCTGTGACATTAAAATTGTTAAAAGTATTGAAAATAATGATTTGAAGAATGATCTTACTATGTGAAAACAAACATGTTGAGAAAAAGAGAGAGAAATAAATGCACTTGTCGGGTAGGTGTGGGTATTGGTAGTGGAAGGCCTCCACCAATTCGCAAAGAGAACTGAACCTCTTCTTTATTTGCGCCTTGTTAAAACTCTATTAGTAACTTTAGTAGCAGCACCAATCTGGTACTGAAGCTGGTAGAAAGGTTTGTATCATGAGTCCAAGTAATAAATCGTGGTAATAATTGTTGGTGGAAGGATGCCATGCTGTAGAGTAACAGTTAACAAGCTAATCTTGCAGACAAATAGTAACATGAAGATACATTGGGCGTCCCGAACTCATGGCCTTGTTACGTACTTAGGTAAATTTAGTAAAAAGCTATCAGTAATCACCGCTTTGCTATTAACGGCAGTAATTATTATTAGTAGTAGTAGCAGTCATTGTAAAAAAATGTATTTGGTGTTATTTGTTTAAGGGTGGCGTTTTTAATGGGTGAACTTTAAACGTATTTCGCCACACCTAACAAAGAATGGACGGGAATATCTATCGTTGATAAAAGAAAAAGTGATAAAAAGTGTACAGAATAATGGTGAAATAGAGATTATTAGAATAGCAGAATAAAAGAATTGCAATAAGAATGAAAGAATATCAATTATATCGAAATTTGTATTCTATCTTATCTTTTTTCCATATCTTCATCGGCTTCAATTTTTGAAACAAACTTGTTTTTTTCGTAACGTGTGTCCTTTTAGCACGTAGACGGACATAGTTCTACACAAATTACAGTTTAATTTTTATCTTCGTCCTGGGCAAGACGATAAACTACATCCGCATCCTGGGTAAGACGATAAACTACGTCCAGCAGCAAGGCATCTGATCAGGAGGTTTTGAGGAACGTGGAACCACCTCTTAATTGCTAGTGTTTCCAGGTCCGCCCTAACCCGGAGTGGTAACACCTGTTAGGGTGCCAGCTATGGGCAAATAGTTAACCCCGAAATCAATAAAAAAAAAACTATGAAAGTGTAAAAATAAGTTTTAGTTGTAATTAGAAATTATTTTGTAAAAAAGTATTATCAGCAATAAATTTTGAAGAAAAAAAACTATTACCAGCAATACATTTTTTTTAAAAAAAATATTACCAGCAATACATTTTTAGAAAAAAAATATTACCAGTTGTACATTTTTGAGGAAAAAATATTGCCAGACATAGATTTTTGACAAAACAAAATATTACCAGCAATAAAAATCTTGTCGGCATAAAATAACCCATTGAGGTTGATATGCCGTAAAACAAAATAAAACAAATCAATCTAAACCAAAGAATACATATTCTAATCACACGAATCTATTAAAAAATTAGTTGGCATTAAATTGAAGTGTTGACATGCCGTAAAACCAAACAAACCAAACACTCAGGAATACTTGTCACTTAACGACTTCTCAAATTTTATTCACTGACATTTTTCCATCCATCCAGGTTTTTAAACATGTCCAATATTTGTTGGATTTTACATTGCTTTCCATTAATCAGTATACACCGCGTTAGGTTGGTCATGATTTGTTTTTTAACGGTCAGATCAATGACGCACTAGTCCCAAATTTGAACAGTTTTGGTGGTAAAAAAAAAAAAAGAAAATGCTTTCCGGACGAGTGGGTTTGAAATTTGCAACATAATGCGCTGGATATGTGAGTTATGACAGACTTTTTTAATATTCGCTAGCTTTCCTTTTCAGGGTCGGAGAGAAGGCATTGCTTCATTTTTTTTAGGATGTTCTCTTTGAATAAAATAAATTCACTTACGTTCGTCCAACATCTCCCTAGCCGCTTTTATATTTCTTCTTTTTTTATATATATTTGCATACCTATGGCGGGTATTATGAAGGTTACGCCCTTATAACTATGGCGGGTATTATGAAGGCTACGCACTTATATTTGATAAACCCAGCATAGGTTTCTACCTGGTATTTTTTAAGCTTTTCAATATAAAACAAGTTAAAAGTGTCACTGTGGTTTAAGGGGGGTGAACAGAGGAAAAAACTATGTATTGGGGGAGGGAGGAAAGCATTAAAGATGAACGTGGTTTAAGACATGAGAATATGGCGATTGACGTTGCATTTAAATTTTTGAATAAAAGATTGAATTCAGTAAGATAAACGGGCGGAGCTCCACAGACGGGAAGTGCGGAAAAAGAAGCTGTTGGAGTAGAAGTGGCGAAACATTTAGCTATCTCAACGGTAAAAAAATGGGAGATCTTTTGTCAAATCTAGTAGCACCCTTGAAAAATTTATTTACAAATTAAAAACAAGGAAAAAAGCTCAAGGCGATTATTTCATAGATATCCTGCATTTTTGAAGATAAATTATGAAATTCCACTTATAGCAGTTGATTTTTTTTTTTGCCGCTGGCGAATCTTTAAAATGTTGTTCTTGTAAAAAGTATTATCGTTCTATTATAAAACCTTTATTTTATTATTCTATTCAGTAACCTTTAAAAGGTTACAACACTTATACAAATAATAATAAATATTATATTCTTTGAATTTCAAAAAATTTTCATTTTAATTTTATTAAACTTTAACTCCTACTTGCTTCATCTTATTTCTGTTGATTTTATTCAAATATTGTTGCCCAGTGAATGACCATGTTATAACCAACAGTTGGTATGAAGAACATCCAAAATATTTATGGACTTGGAAAATTTTGACAGGATACGTTAAAAATCAATATTTTCTTTTTATTTAATTCTTCACCCAAATAATTTTAAGAGCCAGTCAATATAGAGAGTTACTGAATTAGGTTGTTGTATGGAATAAAAATTATCATTTTTAAGAATCTTTTGAAAGTTCAGTTTATGTGGATATGTAAGAAAGATAACGGTTAATTCTAGACTTGAAGAGGTTAAGATTGTAGTGATCGGGGAAGCATCTTTTTCATAAAGTCGCGATTCTTGGGAAGAAGCTGACCGAATGGAACTTCCTTTATACTAATGGAATATGAAGAGAATGGAGATGATTTGTTCCAGTGTACGTGGCACAGAATGTCTTAGTTGTGAAAGTCAGAACTGTTAGAACTAAGAAATATAACTCGTCAGAACATTTGCAATAGAAATAGCAATAGAGGAGAGAGAGAGGTCTTGAGATATTTCGTTTATGGGATAGGGGTTATATAGGGGCTATTACAATATAAAATTCATTTTTTATGGAAAATAAAAATCATTTGCTGGGAAAAAATACATTTCCCAATTATATGAAAACTAATAACAAATATAAAAGCTGATAGCAATTATATATTTTAATACGACAGATATATATAATATATATACAGGGTGTCTATAAAGTTCGTGTGCACTTCAAAAAATTATAACTTTATTTGTATCTGCGATAGAAATAATCTGTAAAAAATGTTATAAAGTTTAATGTACCTAGTTTTAAGTATAGCTAAAATAACTAATGTGATTTCAGGCATTACTGTAAATCAGTTGGCAAATATTTTCCGTGAACTGCAAAATCGTATTACCCTTTTGTATTGCTAATGATGGAGGACATGTGGAAACTTAAATAAAATTTCAATAAAACTTAAAAAATATAGATTTACTTTTTTTCTAATCCTTTTTACAAATTATTTCTATCGCAAATACAAATAAAGTTATAAATTTTTTAAAGTAAATTTTATGAACTTTTATGGACATATTTATATATATATATATATATATATATATATATATATATATATATATATATGTATGTGTGTGTGTGTATGTATTTGTATATATATATATATATATATATATATATATATATATATATATATATATAAAAAATTTAAAATTATAAAATATGTATTTATAACATCACTAAAAAAAATTGATGTTTTTAAATAAATTTATAAGTTGGTTTTGAACTCTTAAAACTCATTAAAATGTTTTGCATTCAACATATAAATTTTTTAATTAAATGATACAAGAAGTGTTGAAACAAAATTACAAATTTTGTAGTGATGTTATAATATACATATGTTATCCTTTTGATAAAATATTATTTGCTGTATTCTGTACAGAAAATTTTAAAAGAATAGTGTTTTTGGATGTTAAAAATGGTTTTTATTGAAGGTTTGTACCAATTCTTATATATTATATATATAAATATATATATATATGGATATATATATATATATATCATACTTATTATAAAACGATATATTAGTTGTGTGTGCATTGTGTGTGTGTGTGTGTTTGTGTGTGTGTGTGTGTGTGTGTGTGTGTTCATTTATATATTGGATCGGATTTCCTACATTTTTCAATTGATTTCAAATAAAACTTCACAGGACTACGTAAAATTACTTTGCGGTGGTTCTGAAAGCGCTAAAAATTGGAAAACAAAATTGTTTTGTTTTTCACGAAAAAACATGATTAAGAGGCATTAATGAAAGGGGACAACTCATATCGAGTTATATATTATAAAAAACACAGGTTGTGTGTGTGTGTGTGTGTGTGTGTGTGTGTGTTGTGTTTATATATGGGATCGGATTTTACATTTTTCAAACCGATTTCAACAAAACTTCAAAAATTTTTTTTGGCAGGTAGTGTTTTTTATTGTCTTGCACACTTTTTTTTTTTATTTTACATTCAGAATGCTTTAAAAATTCCATTTACAAGACAATTGTTTATAATAAAATTGTATTCAATCGGTAGACTCATAACGATTGAAAAAATGTTTTTGTTTTTGTTTTTTGGGTTTGACCAATTCAAAAAAAAAAAAAAAAAACAGAAAAAAAACTAATTAAGACAAATTTGTCCGTCAAACTTAAAGAATAATCTTTGTCAATTTTATTTTTCAGTCTTTTTTGATGGTCGATACTTGATCTATCTCTTACTGTTACATCCCCGGGCAACGCCAGATTCTACTGCTAGTATATATATATATATATATATATATATAAATAAAGTGAATTATTGTTTTTCCATTTTTGATGAATAGTCAACTTTCAGTTTAGACGCAATCATCAGGTGACCTGATTATTTTTTAGTCTAGCATGAATACTGATAGATAGATAGATAGATAGATAGATAGATAGATAGATAGATAGATATCAGTATTGGTCTAAAACCCTACCCGAAAAAATAATTGGAAAAGCGATACTCTTTGTTTATGATTTGTTATGAGAACAATCGAAAGAAAGAAAGAAAGAAAAGAAAGAAAGAAAGAAAGAAAGAAAAAAACATCATCGCATTTTTTAGATAATATTCGTGTAACCGAAATCTACAGGTGACTAATATAATTGGTATTTGTTTACATATTTAAAATGTATTTGTTTGTTCAAATTGCATGCGACTTTTCAGAAAGCATCAGACATAAATAAGATGCCTTACTAAAGAAAGGAATACATTTGGATCACTTTGAAGTTTAATCAAGTTGTACTTAGCAGGGATCAACACGATTAAGATACAGCACGGAGAAGATTAAATTGAAAGATATGAGGTCGTTTTCTTTTCACTTGTTTCCTGATGAATGCTGATGTTCAAAGATTTTGAGGCAGAACACGTTCAGCCTTTTTATCATCTATTGCGATTATTATTATTATTATTATTATTATTATTATTATTATTCTGTTGAGAAAGCAAAACAATCTTGAGAACAAAGAAACATTAACATTGAATAGAGGGATGAAAATAAATATGAACAGTCATTGAAATTTTGATTTCCATTTTAAATGTATTTAAATTTCTAAAAAAAAATTTAATATTATTTATTTTTAATATGGTTCAAAAGAAGCTGGATAGGTTAATTAAGTATAAATAATGGTCTAACAGGATTATAGATAGCTAGAGATATCAATATAATGAGATAGATATATTTTATGGGAAAGTAAACAAATAAAATTATTATCATCACAACTTCTATTATAATCGATAATTTAGGTATTATGATAAATAATAAAATTATTTAATATAAGAATTTGTTTTATAAATTGATTAATATCAAATGGGTTTTTAATTTTATCAATCCTGAATTAAAAATTCCTAGTTAAATGTAATTAATTGTTTTCAATAAATCAGGGTATAAATTTAAATATTTTTTTTTGAGTTAAACAAATAAGAAAATTGTTAATTTATTTTTTAAATTAAAAATTTTTTTGTAAAAATAAATTTTGCTGTAATTTCAATTTTAAGAAAATAATATTAAATCTGTATTTTTTATAAAATCATAAATTTGAAGGAAAAATATTATTTAAATAAATGACAATGAAAAAATGTTAAAAAAGAAATCTTTTTTGTTTTGAATAAGTTTTTTCAAAAATATTTTTAAATTTTTTTTAATTTTTTATTTTCTACCTTTTTTTTATTATTTTATTATATTTTTTCTACAATATTTTTTTCCATAAATAAAAAAAAATAATATTTGTCTCATTTTATATGGTAGTTAAATTTTTGAAAGTATAGAACCTTTTTTCAATGTCTTTGGGGTGGTCTTTGATTTTGGTTTCGGCGTTTGTAATTTGGAAAGTATCTTATGGAAAAATAATTTATTATTTCTCAAAATCGACATTTATTAAAATATTTGTTTCTATAATAAACGTCTATTATTTGGATGTAAATAAGTGATTTTTTTGTTCAATTATGCACGTCAGCTTCAACCTTATCGTAGGATAAAGTTGTGATTTTTTTTTATATAAATTTAATTCAGTTTTATGGATCAAATAAAAAATAATCATTTAATTTATTTTTACTTTTGATTTCTTACATAATATATTATTATATCAGATGGAAAACATTAAAAGTTAATATAATTTTGAAATATAGATGGGGCATTGGGATTCAATACTATATCCAAATTTTTATTTTCATTAATTTTAAAAAAACAACAAACATTTTTTTTGATAAAATCATTTTCAATATAATTTTATATATAATTGACAGGATAATGCAAATTATATTAAAATCATTTGTCTTTTGTTTTTTTATAGTAAAAATTTGTGCATTATTTTTAACAATCAATTTTTCTTATTTATCATAAAATCTTTAATAATAAAATCAACTTTATTTTAAAAAAATCAAAATTATTAATTGTTAAAATTATTTTTAATGCATTATATAAAAAGTTTCTGTGCATTTTTATTTTAAAAAAATTATTTGTTTTAATTTCAAAAATAAGTAAAATTAATTTTATAGTATTCTAATTTTCCTGTTAAAATGTTCCATTTAATGAATTTTAGTCTGAATCAAAGAATTTTTTAAAATTTAAGTGCCTCAAATGAAACAAAATTTTAATTGTAGTTCGTTTTAACCATTAATGTAACATTTTGTATTAAAAAAATTTAAAATGTCTATTTTTATTTTAAATAAAAAATATATATTTAAAATATGTTTGTAATGCATTTCTATATTAAAATCATTTCTTTTCATCATGACAGAAAAAAAACACATAATCCATTTTATTGGTAAAATTACTATTTACAATGCATTTTCATTCATATTTTTAAATTTTGCTGTAAGTTTAATATAATATTTTAATTTCAATTGAAATTTTGATATTTGTCATTAAAAAAATTGGAAATGGTAAAATCGATCAAAATTTTCATGAATAACATAAAATAATTATTCAAAAAATTTTAATTTACAAATTATTTATGTAAAAAAACTTTATGAAAAAAAAAATTTTGTTTGAAAATTTCTGTTGGACATCAAAGAATTCTTCAATAAATCATAAAATTTCCCATAAAAATGTAAACTGTATCTATTGATAAATAAAAACTGGTCCGGAAATACTGGTCTAAGAGTTTAAATTAGTAAAATAAAATACCAAAAAATATATAAAGTTCAGAATAATTGCCCAAAAAAAGATAAAATATTACAAAAAATGGAGGAAAAAAGTTTGATGTCAACCGAAATTTCATGTGCATTTTACGGGATAATATTTATTTCATGAAAATGATTTCCGTTAAAGGCATGAAAATACAATATCCTTGAATAAAACAGTAAAAAACTTGTCGATTTTTAAATATATTTTCTATATATAAAATTACGTGAATAATATTATATATAGGCATTTTATTTATATATATATATATATATAAATATAAAACTACATTTAATATGATTTATTATTTCTGAATATATATCTTGATTAAAAAATTTATAATTTTTAATAAGATATCTGAATAACAGTTGAAATGAATATAAATTAACAAATTTATTTTAAAGGATTTTATAAATTAAAAAATATAATTTCTAAACATTAACATGAATGATTTAAAATGTGAAAAAAACAATGAAAACATTTTTTGATGTTTAAATATAATAATGAAAACATAAAATAGCACAAACATAAATTTTTTGTCGATTAACATCCATGAAAAGTATATATAATGAACACTAAACTTTTTAAGACATTTGCATCTCTCGGAAATGGAAATCACGTTTAAATTTTCAGATAAAAAACCGAGCAATATTCTTAATTTATTTGTAGACATTCTTTTTAACAAAAATAAAATTAAAAAAAAGAACATAACTGGTCATCTACATTTAAAAAATCATATAATTTAAGCTTAAAAGAAGTTCTGCAGAAAAGGTCAATATTTTAAAAGAAAATTCACAATAAATAATTTAAAGTGTCTTTTACTATAAAATATATGATTGAAATGGCCTGTGAATAAGATAAATAAAAATTAATAAAAAATGGGATAAAGACAAAAAAACTATGGAAAAACATAATTAAAACTGAGAACAATTTAATTAGCTGAAAATAGAAGTTTGATTTGACAAATGAAAAAATTTTTTAACAAGTATTATAATGAAATTACTCAATTTTAGATAAAATATATAAAAAATAATGAAAAAAAAAGCAAAATCCGTGCAAAAGTAAATAAAACAATGACTTTCAAGATTTAGGCCACAGACATTATTGAGGAAACCAACTTAGGCTACTTCCTTTACTTTTTCCATCTTAACGTCTTAATTTTTACTTTTTTTCATGAAAGTTATTTAAAACCATGATTAGATGACCTTAGGTTTTTTCAACTTTAAATCACCTTAAAACTTTATGCCTACTTTATACTTTATATATCGTTTATATATACCATATATAATTTATATATAGGTTAGATTTTACTTGAAATGATTCCATAACCTGTTATAAAGATTTTAATTATTAGGAACTTGGGCCACAGATAAATGATTCAACAGAAGGTTAAATGCTCTTCTATACTTTAAATTTTGATTGATTAATTTTTACTGATGGAACATAGAAGGTGAAGAATGACAATTCCGATAAAAACCTGTCTTTGATCTAAACAAAATAATCTAAAAAAATTTAAAAATTAAACAGATCTTTCAATATTTATGGTCACAATTTTATTAGTGACAGACTGCCTCAGGACTCTCCCTACTTTAAATGACAGCATAGGCAAACAGACTCTTACTTTCAAGGAACATTGAAAACATATCAAGAGCGAAAGGGTGAACATGTTCCTTTGCTAAATGATCTTAAATACCTTGATTGATGCAGAAAAAAGGAAATTTTGGACAACCATGATTTTGCAGGACTGACTTATTTAAGAATCAAAAGATCTAAAACCTTAAACCACAGATCCAAACTTTGAATAGACATTTACCACAGACGTAAAACCAATTCTTTCTCTCCTTTTCTTTAAATGATTTATATTGTTCAAAATGGATTTTTACTATTCAAAGTCTGTCCCTTAAAACCATGATTTTTAGACTGCCTTAGGCTCTCTGTTATACTTTAAAAATTAATTCTTATCTCTTTTACTTTCTGAATGATTGAACCCCCATTTCACAATTTGTCCTTAGACTCTCTCCCTTTACTTTAAATGATAAAACATTCAACCCCTTAAACCACTCTAAGTTTTTTTCCTTCTTTTCGGCAAATTTGTCTCCTTTATATTATTTCTGTTTTGCTATCAACACTTCTCTTCTTATTTCATTATTTTCTATGTTTTTTCTCCATTTTAGGCTAGTATTTCCATTAGGAACATTGCTGAAAAAAAATTTTGACGGTATATTAAAAAAATACTGTAAATTTTTTGAATGATAAAAAGGAAATTTGTCACTTTAAAAATCTTACCTAACATATTTGTTCAAAATGACACATTTTATCTTGAATTTAACAAATATTTATATTAAGGAACAAGATAAAGTAAAGCAAAAGATCTAAAATTATATACATTTAGAGTTTACCATTGTGTTTTTGGTTTTAAATGTAT